ACAATTACATAATTTTGTTTTGCCTTTTAATTTAATATCACGTATTAATGGGCTGTATCTATTTAAGCATCCTTGTATTTATTGAGTGAGTACCACTTGATCATGATCTATTATCCTTTTACTGAATTGTTGAATTTGTTTTGCTAGTATTTTTCTAAGGGTATTTTAATATCTATACTCATCAAACACAATGGCTTAAATTTTTTTGTGTGTGTATGTGACTTTTTTGGTTTAGGTATTAGTAATAATATGGGTCTCATAAATATTCTTGGATATATTCCCTGTTCGATTTTTTGAAAGATTTTGGGAATAGTTATTGTGACTTCATTCAAAGTTTAGTAGAATTATTTTCTGAAGCCACCTGCTCTTCAGCTTTTAACTATGGGAGGCATATGTTAATGTTTTATATTTTAAAGATGTCTGTTCATATATTCTAGTTCTTTCTGATTCAGTCTTGGAAGTTTCTATACTTCCAAGAATTTAAATATATTCATCATCACTAATTATCAGGAAATTTCAAATTAAAACTACAGTAAAGTATCATCTCACACCAGCAAGGATTGCCTCCATCAGCATACCCATAAACAAACAGGTGCTGGTGGGGATGTGAAGAAAAACGGATCCTCATTGACTTTTCTGGCTCAGTCTTTAAAGAATAGATCTAGTTTTAAAATGCTACAAATAAAACTACTGTACTATCCAGCAATTCCACTTTTAAGAAGAACCCTTAAACATGTATTGTATTGCAGCACTATTAACAACAACCACGATCTAGAAAGAACCAATCTGCCCAAAGGCAAATTAGTGGATAAAGAAGATTTGGTGTAAATACAAAGTGAAATCCTACTAGCTATAAGAAATGGTAAAACCTTGCAGTTGCAACAATTTGGTTGGAATTGGAAAGTTCATGCTAAGTGACCTAAATCAGAGGAGAACAATAAATACCAGAAGAGTTCAGTCATCTGTGGGATAGAGAAAACAAGGGATTAACAAAACCAAAGGAAAAGAAATCCATAGATTCTGACCTCAGAATTTAGGTTGATAGGAAAGGTGAGTAGGGCAGATTAAAGGTGAGGATAAGTCAATGGATGGTGGTGGAGGTTACTGGTACTTTGATGGTCGAGTGTAATATGGTAGCATATCTTGAAGAGGTGTGAATTGTACTCCTACAATATAGACAGTTTTTAGAGTCGATGTTACACTATCCTATTATATTATATTCTTACATATTATCTGGTGATTCACTGTATCACTATTATCCCATTGCGGCTACCAGTAACGTCTCTATTCATTCCAGTCCTGAGGTTTTTATCAGCCTCTCCTTACTCGCCTCTCCCAATGATTGGAGGCTCTTTCAGGGTCAGGGGAATGAGACCTGTTATAGTTACTATTTTTGGTATATCGAATATGCCACCATGGCTATGGTGGCTACACGACAAGTCATACCTCACACCACTAGTATTCCAAGAGTAGTGCACCACATTTTATGGCGGTTAAAGTAAGAGGCACCAATATTAGAAGGAAATATATTTGTATAGATATGTACATATATATGTGAATATATATGTATATATTTAAGCATATAAGTTTCAACCCTAAACAACATGGTAGTAATCTCTTATAGAAGGGCTTAATGGCCCTTGGGTGAAATACAACAATCTTCATGCATTCTCCTCTAAGGAAACGTTTTGGGTCAATTTCAACGATTTTTCATAACCAAATAATAAAATATAAATTATTTTGGGTCTGCTTTGGGGCAAGGGTTGGGTTTCAGGAAGGAAACACCTCAATTCTGGTGGTGGGGGAGTGTAATGGTGGTGGGACTGATGTTCAAATATTGAATGTAATCAAATATTGTGAACTACTTTATAAAAGTTAAAAAAATTAAAAAATGAGAAAAATATCATGATCATTTGCTATGATCAATTATCAACTCAAGAATTTTTTTCATTATTTCTCTTATTTAACCTATTATTTTAAATAATGTTCTCACAGTAATTTTCCACAGAATATAATTATTCACCACTATACCACCAATGCTGGAGTGATAGCACAGTGGTAGGGTGTTCGCCTTACAAGCGGCCAACATGGCCTACCCGAGTTCGATTCCTCCGCCCCTCTCAAAGAGTCAGGCAAGCTACCGAGAGTATCTCGGCCACACGACAGAGCCTGGCAAGCTACCCGTGACGATATGCCAAACACAGTAACAACAAGTCTCCTGATGGAGACGTTACTGGGCCCGCTCGAGCAAATCGATGAACAAGGGAGGACCGCAACCATGACCAAAAATAATTATTCAGGGCCAAAATGAAAATGCAGGGGTGAAACCCTGGCCTTGCACAGCAGTTCAACTTCAGTTCCATTCTGGGCACTACATAGGGTCTCCTGAACACCCACGCACCATAAGGAGTGATCCCTGAGCAGTATAAATTGAGCACCATTGGATGTAATAATCTCCCCCCCAAAATAATTATATACCAACTATACCAATATTATATACCAACATTATATACTAACCATACAAGTGCCGTTAAGATCAAATAAGTTATTGCATAGAAGCTTGTTGGGGAAGAGTTTTCCCCCAATGGTGCCCAGACACATTGCGTACCAGGTTTGGGCAAATGGGGGTGGGGGGAGTGAAGGATGACGGGTTCATGGTGAAACACCCTCTGAGAGCAGCTGATAGCTCTTCACTTTATTACCAAATACACACATATTTTATAGAGGATCTTGGCTTACAAGAAAGTCCAATCACATGAAGTTCAGCATTATTGGTCTATCACCTCTCCAACTCTGCTTTGTACATCCAATCTAATCAAGGCTAGATGCTGACTTGCTAAGCGTACGTGACAGTTTCTGTGTCTAGGGCTCCTGTGATTAGGAGGTCTAGTGAGGTTCATGGCCGAACACCTGGTGCTGGCTGACACCCTGCTCTGCCAACTTTGCCCATATAATCCCTCTTGCAAGGCTTTGTTTCTGGTCCACTTTGCAAGGTCAGGTCTTATCTGCAACAATGTCCATCATCATGCTCCACAGAAGTTGTCACTGTAAGAAAATATAATTTCTTTTATTATACTTTAATATTGCTTTAAATATGTAAATATTTTAGCATGAATGTACTTACATTGTAAAATGTATGAAAAATGAAAATAAATTAAAAATCTTTAAATGCTAACCCTCAGCTTGCAACCACTTACGAAACTGTTGGAAAGAATTAATGTTAGAATTACCTATTACTTTACTGTCTGTACTGTTCAATAAAGTGATCATTTTTGACATGATTATTAAATACAAATGTAAATTAGTTAAGTTTAAATAAAAATAAGTCATAGTAACTTTATTTGAAATGTTCAGTAGTCACACGTTGTTGCTTCTGTATTGATGAGAGCATATATGTTAAGTATGTATTATTAAATAAAGCTCTACTGAATTAAGTCTAGGAAGAGAGCCAGTAGTTGACAGGATAATGCCACCCTAAAGGTGTTAATTAACAGAACAAGAGGACATTGAAGATATAAGTAAGTTAAGGAAACTGAGAGAAAAGATGATCTCTGTAGGTCAAATGGAATAACAATAGTTCTTAGGAGAAAGGTCAGAGGTCAGGAGTGTCAGAACCCAAAAAAGGGTCTGTAATATAAATGGAAGGCAAGAGTGATTCCACTATAAAGATAGAGGGAAAGAGGGAAAGAGGAAAAGGACTTTTTTTTAACGGATGCTATGGATGGAACCTAGAATTTCACACAAGCAAGGCAAGATTGCTAAGCTCAGTAACTCCGTTCCCTGCCAGCACCTTAAACCAAGAATAGCAGAAATCTGTAGATGAAAAGTGCAGGGAAACAGTCACCCTGAAGAAAAGCAGCATAGCTGACACCTTGATTTTAAGACTTAAGAACCAAAGCCGATCAAATTCGTATTGTTTTAAGTCATCAAGTTTCTGGCAGATTGTTATAATAGCAATAGAAAAATGAATACATATGAAATTCTCTCAAATCCCTTCTTAATGAGCCTCACGTCTTCAATTACTTCTATTATAAAACTACACGAACACTTTTCTACATGCAATAGTAAGTATTAGAACTGAAAAGAAAACTGTAGTGGCATATAGGGTGAAAGATAGGAACAATAGCAGACTGAAAATTTTCGAAATGAAGAATAGTAGTACACCATTTGTTTACACATATAATACTGAAATCACAGTTGCTTCGGGGACAGTATTCTAGTGACATTCGAACAATCCTCAGACTACCAGTTTGCAACAGACGATAAATCCACATCGGAAATAAAGTACCATCCAGGCTTTCTGAATTCCCAAGCGGGATGGATGGTGCTTTGTCTAACACACAACGAAGTACAGAAGATGGCAAATTGCTTGGAGAAGTAGAACGGTTTCAATGAACTGGCATTAAAACTATACCAGTAGTTATATCTGAAAGGTGTTCAATTCAAGGGTGTAGCATTTGTTAAGAAAATCTAGGAAAACAACAACAACAACAACAACAACAAACCCTCGAGTAAAATCAAATGAAATCACGTGAAAGTGAAAAGCTGTTAGTACCAGATAATCCCCTTCCAGTTCTTTAGGAAGAAAAATAATATCAGAAACTTCTTTATCATTCATCTCTGTAGCCCACTGACTCTGTCTAGGTCACGAGAGCTTGAGAGTAAGTGTAAGTGCTTTGAGCATACCAGCCTTTTTCTGCAATGTTCCAGTAACTCTATGGAACAGGGATCAAATAGGTTCAAAGGAACAGGTTTGATGGACAAGCCCAGCAAGGCAAGCCCCGCCCCTCACGGCGTCACACGGCGCCCTCGGGGCCGTGTGCGTGGCGCGCCGCGGGGGCGGGGCTAGGTCGGTGACGTCACTAGCGAGCGTCTGGCGCGCTCCATTGGCGCTGAATTCAAAAATTGCCACCGGGGCCGCTGGGTCCTGCAGAAGCGTCTGGCCGCCCAATTGTCTTTTGGTTGTCCTGGTCGCTGCGAACTTGGGTGCTGTGCAGGGAAGACCTCGGCAAGTGGCGACTAGCAGTCGTGCCCCGGGGAGAAGATGGCGTCGTCGGGCACCGTTTCCCGGAGGAACCAGATCGAGCGGAAGGCTCCCCGCGGCTTTCTGAAGCGCCTCCTCAAGCAACGGAAGCCTCAGCTGCGCCTGGAGACCACCACCGACTTATTGGTGAGGGGCTGTCCCTTCGTGGGGGAGGTTGGGGAGAGCGCGGGAGAGGGAGCACAAATAAATCTTAGCCTCCCCCCTTTTTTTGGAGGGGGGGGGCGATCCCACCCAATCTAGTTGTTTTTTTCAGGTCTAAGAACTTGTCAACCATGCCTAAGCAGGCTTTTCCCAGACTCCTCTACGAGCACGGATTCTAGACCCTGTTGTATATTAGGGTCCCCCGGGAGAGGTAGAGACCTGGATTTCCTTTAGAGTGTGATATCAGATATGCATTACCTCGAGAGCGCCGCATTGTACTTAAAGGGGGGAAGCTGGCGTTAAGTTTCTGCTTGCAGGGGACAGGCTGGTAAATGCGCAAAGTAAACTTGTGCAAGTAGTGAGTGAAAGCTAGACTTCTGGAAATAGATTTTGGACTCATTTCTGGGTCATGTTTATTTGACCTTTGTTAAAGGCATTACTGACATTAGTGCCTTTCGAGGGACCTCCCTTCCTGTCTTCTTTCCTGCCTCCTGGTTAGGGTGGTAAACATACCGCTCTGTTTTTCATTGGCTGAACTTGCAGAAGAACCCTGATCCAAAAGTTATTCGAAGGGCAGAAAGCTCTTCATTGTGTATTTGATTTCTGCGAAAGGAACAGAAGAACTGTGTATTAATTAGGTCGTGTTGCAAGCTTAGCTACTACAATGATGTGGTCACCCAGTACCTGCAGAATGAAACTCACCGAAAGAGTCACTACGCCGTATTTTTGTCTTTGATGTCGAATGTCTTTCTCTTGAACGCCTGAACATATGTTCCTCTAGTAGAATGACTCCAGCGTCTCTATAAAGACACGTCCTGTGGTCTGTCACAAGAGAAAGAAGGAATTCTAGGTGGGCACCTAATTTCCAGGAATTCCAAACAAAAAGTTGGGTTCTGTCAGTCTGTTTTTAAACGACATCTTCTTTCCATCTGGGCATTCCTATTTCTCTTCTCCTTCACCCTATTGCCCATTTGCAATATCAGTATCATATCAGTCTACTGAAGAATTGTGGTCGTGGTCTTGTGTCCACTTTATTTGATCATTAAAGCCCACAACACCCTCTCACCTCCCCACTACAGTCCCCTCTAAGCAGACCTAATACTTTTTTGTTCTTTTTTGTTCCTTTAAAAATATATATTGGTTTGCACTTCCCTCTCCGTTTCTTACTCTCTGTTTCCCATAGTAGTAATAGAAGTGGTTCAGGTGAGTTGGGTTAATGTGAAATTGCTTGGCAGAACAGTTCAAGAATCATTATTCTGGAGTTTTCACTGGTGCTGAATGGTCCAAAGAGGGGGGAAAGAAATGTATCCGATTGAGAATCCAAGCAACTGTGAACTGATAGATCAGAAATTAGATGTAATCTGTTTTCTTTTGCATTCATACCCACCCAGAGTAACATTTGGACAGGTGAACTCAATAGTGGAATGAAATCTGGGTAGCCTGGGGGATGATACGGACCTGAATTTCTAAACCATTGCAGTGTTGAGAAAAGGAAATCTTTTGGCTTTTTGTTCCCAAGTATATGCTTGTTTTTGTTTTTTCTGTCTGTTCTCCTCCCCACCCCCCGCCCCCACACACTGTCTTATATGTGCTGTTATCATCCTAGTTTCCTTGTTTATGGTTTTCTTTCACATTGACTCCATAATCTTAGCCAGGAGGAGGTACCATAAGAGGCATAAACACTTACAATTAAGGTGGTATGTTTCGATTTCCTTTTCTCTGAATTTGACAGTAGTAAAACTGTGTATCAGACCATTAGTTATTAGGATACAGACACTTGTTTTCTGTTTCATTGTGGCATGCAACTTGAGGGGAGGAACCATGTTTAATCTCCTTTTGTGTCACCCATTATCGTTAACACAAACCTAGTCTACTTTTCTGTCTTTTGTGCATATTTCTTCCTTCAGAAGATGTCTTCACCACGCTCCACTTAACAAACTCCAATCCTTTGAGCACCGGTTCAAATGCCACTTCCTCAGTGAAATTTATCTTAAAATCAAACTTGTCTTACATTGCTGTTGCTACACATTTGTCTTTAATATTATGGATTTGATTTCCAACTATCTGAGAACTCTTTGGGAGGAGGGATTCCAAACCCAGATGTGCTCAGGGCTTACTTCTGGCTCTGAGTTTAGGGATCACTTCTGGAGGCTCTGGGGACCATATGTGTTATCAGGATTGAACCTGGATTGGCCACTTGCAATCATCTCCACTTTACTGTGTAAACACACAAAAAATAAAATGGCCAGCGGTCTGGCCGCTTCCCCACTCCAGGGAGGTCGATGGCGATGGTCAGGTGAAGGAAGGAAACGAGGCCAAGCTAGTGGGTCTTAGTAGCCGTTTATTACATGGAAGAGATGTATGTCATGGAGGCCTCAGGAATCCTCGAGCACGTGCGCCTTTGTTCTCTCCGCTTCTGTCCTCAGCCCCATCTTCCCAGGATCTCTGATGCACGTGTCCCCCCAGAGAGCCCTGAAATCTCCCTTATATAGATCATAGCACCTCTAAAGGGCGCAATATAATGATGTCATCAAAAGGAGTTATAGAAAGAACACTGAGGTGGCAAACATACATTGTTTCCTTACATCCGCAGGCCAGTAATCCTGGCCTCACCTTTTCACAAACTACAAGCACTTAGATTAGCACAACAAAGACCAGTCTGCTAGAGCTTGGAATCTACATCTCCAAAAAAGCAGTCTCATCCAAGCTAGTCAGGACACACAGGAAACTGCTTCTAGGACGTGTTTCTCCTCTCCTTGTCCAAACAACATATAAGCATACATAATATTAATCATTTCGTATGGACACAGTAAGAAATACTTTGAGCTTATAGAATTGCTCTCCTAGGGCCATCTCGATCTCAGACTGCAGTGCTCAGGCCAGATATCTTTCCTATTCCTAGCAGCAGGGCCCTAGTCTCGTCGTTACTTTTGGATCATGACATCATTTGCCTATGATCAAACTCTTATAGTTAAGAATCGTGGCACCTTGGCCTGGCCCATCGCGATGCCAGGGTAGCACATAACTTACAGGCTTGCCCTGGTTCCATCCAGTCCCACGTCGGGACCCTGCCCTTGGAATGCTAGGAAGTGAGGGCAACTGAGGCTTAAGTTGAGAAGGCAGATGCCCAGGAGTGAATAATATTCAAAGCCAATCAATTCCTAAGTTATAAAGCATAATATTAATTAATTGTCTTCCTGTATCTATACAAAAGGACATTGCATTAAAGTAAACTGCTCAAAGACATAAGGAGAGGAGAAAGGCAATATTGACTTACAGTACAGCTTCAGTGTCTAAGAAGGATGAGACCTTACAAATTGGTTGGGGAAGAGAGCATAGAAGAGGTTACAGACAGACAAAGTAATGGGAGTGACTTGGGAGCACTGTGATGGGCACAATCTGATAAACCTAAGCTCCGTGTACTCCAACACTTTACCACTGTTCTCGCTTTAAGCCCGAAATCATTTGATTGGTAACTTTTATATTCCTGGAGTTTAGCATAATACTATGAGCATTCAGAATGTATAATTTACTTTGGAAATATATAGTAACTATGTGGGTTGGTAGCACTGCACTGTAGCACTGTCCTCCCATTGTTTATTGATTTGCTTTAGCAGGCACCGGTAACATCTCACAACAGATTGTGAGACTTATTGTTATTGTTTTTTGTATATTGAATATGTCACAGTTAGCTTGCCAGGCTTTGCCTTGTGGGCGAGATACTATCAGTAGCTTGCCAGGCTTTCTGACAGGGGTGGAGGAATCCAACCTGGGCTGGCCGTGTGCAAGGCAAACGTCCTACCCGCTGTGCTATCACTCCAGTCCATGTGGGTTGGTATTCTTTGTAGTATTTACTGTTTCATTGTGTGGTATTTATTGTTCTTGGCACTTTTTTTGGTCATTTAACTTTATGCCTTATTGTATCCCAGGATTGGTATAACTGAAGATATCTGTTCCCCTTTTTGGTGAATCAACTTTCAGATTTATCACTTCAGTAATGCTTTTTGTGTATTTGGGTACTATTGGAGGTCTCTGACCGTCAAAGGGAAGAAACTGATTTTTTAAAACAAATATCCAAGAAATATTGCACAGTGAACACCCAAGTGTGCTCTATAGTTCCATTGGTTTTAAGTCTGCTGGAAAAGTGTCTGTTCTTTACCTCTGCATTGAAAGGATTATCTTTTTAAGTGTATTCAAAAAGTCAGCACATTATTTTTATTTTATTTTATTTTATTTTTTTGCTTTTTTGGGTCACACCTGGTTATGCACAGGGGTTACTCCTGGCTCTGCAATCAGGAGTTACTCCTGGTGGTGCTCAGGGGACCATATGGGATCCTGGGATGGGAATCGAACCCAGGTCGGCCGTGTGCAAGGCAGATGCCCTACCAGCTGTGCTATCTCTCCAGCCTCCAGCACATTATTTTTTTTAAATTGCAAAAAATAGATTTGTTTTGTAAATAATCTTTTGATTTCCTTTTCAGGTAAGCTGATCTCCCCCCACCACCCCCATCCCCAAATTAAATTCTAGATGGAGTGGCTTATTTTTTTTAGTTTTGAATGCTTAGCCTGTACTTAACATTAATTTTTTTGCTTCACTGATTTTAATTTCAAATAGTGGATTTGAGAGGCACCTCTTAGAGGAATAGTTTGCTTTAAAATTCTATGACATCAAAAAAATGATAATAATTTGTCTCAGTATTTATGGCTTATGTCCATAAAATGTAAATGATGTTCCATGTAGAATTCATTTGGGGCACTGTGAAGCCATCTTTTACTTGTACAATAATTATTTACTTCCTACATATTGAACCAAAGGTTACTAGGTGCACAATATTGGCAAACATAGTTTTTGCCCTTGTTATACAATATGTAAGTTATGTCAGAAAGTCCAGCATAATAGATGAAGTTTGTGCAATAATATGGAGTTGTGATAGGAAGTGATAGGAAGCATGATACATGAATTTACATACTGGAAGAGTTAGACTTTGCAAAAAAAAATATTTAAACCAATAGGATGCCAATAGGTAAGGTTTTATTTGAATGTTGAAAGAAGTTCAAAAGATCTAGTATAGAACTGGAAACCGAGAAAGGTGAAAGATGAAACTGTAAAAGACTAGTCATATGGTACTTAGTATTAAGGAATTTGGAATTTATCCAAAGGGCATCTGGAAACTATTTGTCTTTTGAAGTAGAAATTTAAGGGGAAATCTTACCATATTATTCCCATGTTTTTGCTACAAAAGGAGTGGGATATCGTTGGAAGTTGAAAAAGATTGAGATGGTATTCTGTACAGTGTAAGAGTTGGGTGCTTCAATGTTTTTTCTTTCTTTTTTTTTTCCCCACTTTGTTAGGACTCAAACCCAGGGCCTTATACATGCAAGGCAAGTGCTCTGCCATTGAACTCCATCCCAGCCCCTACTTCAGAGTTCTTATGCGAATTGAAGAAGATAATACATCACTGTATCAAAACACTATCTCTTCCCATGGAATCTTACCCTTATTTAAACACCTGTAATTGTCCACTAAAAATTTCTTTTTAATATTAATAATTAAGAATACCACATTACCTGGGTCTTTAATGTTTAATGAACTGTGGAAGAGTGTTTATCTGGAGTACACAATGCAGTGATTATTATGTTTGGTTTTTTTTTTTTTTTTTTTTTTTTTTTTTTTTTTTTGCTTTTTGGGTCACACCTGGCGATGCACAGGGGTTACTCCTGGCTCTGTACTCAGGAATTACCCTTGGCGGTGCTAGGGGACCATATGGGATGCTGGGAATAGAACCTGGGTCAGCTGCGTGCAAGTCAAACGCCCTACCTGCTGTGCTATTGCTCCAGCCCCCGTTTTCATTCTTTCACTGCAAAAAGTGTATACTGTACTGTATAAATGGCCAGAAAAAAGATGTTAAGGATATTTTGAAATAATACCTTAGTTATATCTCTTGTGTGGGGGCAAAGATGAACCTATATTAAATTTAATTCTGTGTTACTTTAAATGAAAGTTAATTAACTGAGTTACAATAATAAAGCGTGCATTACTAATTTTGGAGACTTAAATTAGTGCTAAAAGTTTTAGTGTTTGAGTTTAATTATCTTTTGGAATTCTTTTCTTTTAAAGATACATCTGAACTGCTTATTGTTTGTTCATCGACTAGCACAAGAGTCCAGGATGAATGCTTGTGAGAATAAGTGTAAAATCATTAAAAAGGAACATGTACTGGCTGCAGCAAAGGTAAAACCTGAATGTTTTTTTCTTGACCAAAATTTACTTCAAAACTGCCTTTGGAGTGCGGTGTAGTTTAGTAACAGCACATGCTGATCATATGTATGAGTGCAGTATCTTGTATGAAATTTTAAAACCCTGTGATGAAGGGTTTGATTCTTCTGCCCCTCTCCGAGAGCCCGACAAGCTACCGAGAGTATCCCGCCCACACGGCAGAGCCTGGCAAGCTCCCCATGGGGTATTCAGTATTCCTAAAACAGTAACAAGAAGTTTCACAATGGAGATGTTACTGGTGCCCACTTGAGCAAATGGATGAACAACAGGAGGACAGTGCTACAGTGCATGATGAAGGGAGGACAGGAGTTCTCTGACTGACAAAGGGAAGAGGCTGCCTCTTTTGGTTAATTGAGATCAGATATTGATGCAACACCCTTATCCCCCACAAATACATATCTCTTCCATATTTCACTGCATAGTTGTGCTCACATAGTTCTCACGCCCTGTGACAGAGTGGTTGCATGCACCTTTGGAGGTAGGGGAGCTGACATAAAACCTGTGATGATTACAGGATGGATTTCATTGCCACTGCCTAATTTAGATTCCTCATTCTGCTTTGTTTAGAGAGTCTGATACTTGGATTTTCATGTTAGTGTATTTTAATTAGAGTTAAATTTTCTATTGAGTATTAAGATTTCTAATGGTAAGATTAATGGCCACAACTTTACATCCTTTTGGCAGACAGAGAAAACAAATGACTGTTTATGTCATTTGAATAGGTTGTTTTATTTTTAAAAATTTGTCACCTTAAATTCATTAAAATGTCCTTGATCACATTAAACTTCTATAATTGCTTATTTTCTAACTTCGAGTTTTGACTAACCTCTCGATGAAATAGATGAGCAGAGAAAATTGCTTCTTATTGCTGTTTCTATATGATGTATGAATGAGTCGGATGCCTGCAACACACATACACTGTCACTGTCACTGTCCTCCCGTTGTTCGATTTGCTCAAGCGGGCCCAGTAACGTCTCCATTGTGAGACTTGTTACTGTGTTTGGCATATCGAATATGTCACGGGTAGCTTCCCAGGCTCTGCCACGCGGGCAAGATACTCTCAGTAGCTTGCCGGGCTCTCCGAGAGGGGTGGAGAAATCGAACTCGGGTTGGCCATGTTGGCTGCTTGCAAGGCAAACGCCTACCCGCTGTGCTATCGCTATAGCCCACATACGCACAAAAAGCTTCAGGGATTAGATAAGTTTAAATAACACAATATACTTCTTTGGGCAGTTAAAATATTATTTTATAAAGAGAGCTTGTTTATAAGACTATGTGAGAAATTGGCAGCTATGTTTGATTGGGGGTTGACTACTTTTGATAGTCCTCCTCTGCAGATGTTTAAGCTTTTTTCATTTTGTCCTATCTTCATTTTAGAATAATAAGAGGCTTATAGTAGGTACAAAAATGATTTCCCATGTGATCTTTTATTCAGTGTCCCATCGTGTTAACATATTTCTGTAACTATAGTCATCAAGTTTGGAAGAGTATAAGAAATATACTTATAAGAGTATAAGTCCATAGTATTTTCCTTTGTGTACCCATCTGTAAGAACAGAAAATACTAGCTTAGGGTATAAACCTATTTGGCGGCATCTGAAAACCTAGACTTCACCATGCCCTGGCATTATGTAGGCAATTTAAATTCTTTTGTAATAATATAATTTCGACAAGTTTCTAGATTATTAAAATGAATATAAAATTTCTTTGAGGTAGCATGGCTTTAGAGCTGGAGTAGTACTTTGTGTATTTGAAATTTAGATTTTTTTTGTTAGTGAATCATGAGTCTAGTTATCTAAAGTTGATCAGTTGTTGAAGAAGTTTTAGAGATAGGGCCCGAGAGACTACAGTGATTAAAGCACTTGCCTTGCACATGGCTGAACCTGGTTTGATCCCCAGCGCTGCATGTAGTCCTCCACCAGAGTAGGCCCTGAGCTTAAAACCAGGAATAAAAACCCTGAGTCCTGCCCCAAAACCAAAACCCGAAGTTTTCGAAAATATTTAGATTTGTTTATTCCTCTTAAATTTTATTTCTTGCATGGGCTCTGTACGTTGAATGAATGTCTGTGTAATTGGGGCCTGAGCTACAGTACAGTGGGTTGGGTGTTTGCCTTGCACACAGCTGATTCAGGTGATCCCCATATCCCATATGGTTCCCTGAGCACCACCAGGAATCTCCCATATGGTCCCCCAAGCACTACCTGGAAATAATTCCTGAATGCAGAGCCAGGAGTAACTCCTGAGCATCAGCCGGTGTGACCCAAAAGGAAAAACAAAACAACAAATAACTGTATAAACTTTTCAGCATAAATGACTAATCTTGTTTTCTTTCTTGATATAATTCCAACCCCCCAAATTTTTGTGTGGCAATGGATATTGCTTTGTAATTTTTAAATGCCTGGCTTATAATAGGATTTTCAAATTTGAAACATTCTTGACTTTTTGAATTACCAAATAATGTACAAAACTTAAGTTCAAAACTATTCACTTGAATAGTTTCACTTAGAGTTAAAGAAAATAGTGTCTGGAAGTTACTGTAGTAACTGTAAAAGTTAATATAAAGCAGATTTAGTGAATCTTGATATGTTTCACATTCCTTGAGAAAAGCAGACTATTTTAGAAAAGTCTCAGATTATTTATAAGGTAAAAGATTCCCTTGTCATTTTCCAAATTGGTTTCTATAACTTCAGTCTTGTGTGTTATGTACATAGGGGTATTTAATGTTTTGTTCAGAAGTTTCCTTCTTTCCATAGGCATAATATGAATCTTAATTTCTTTTCCCTTTCTACAGGTAATACTAAAGAAGAGCAGAGGTTAGAAATCAGTGGACTCATTTTTGAAAAACATGCAATGTATATTAAGTGGTAATATGTTATGAATCAGTTCATGTAATTAAATATTAACTAGTTGAATTTTTGTATTTGTAAATTTTTTTTACTGGAATATTTCAAGCACTCGCCTTAAAACCTTTTTCTGTGAGTTATGTTTCATTAATATTGGTTAGGTGTTTTGCTCATTTTGTTTACACTTTGTTGCTGTTGCAAATGTTTAACATCAAAAATGAAATCTGATTTGAAGAAGTATTTTTTTTAAATTAACTATTTAGATATAGCAGCAGTTAGCTGTTGAATTAATCTTTGAAGAAAGATAATATCTAATAAAATCTAGGTACATTTCAAATATTAATTTTTTGAGGGGAGAGTACGTATAAGGTTAAAATTTCTCTTTTTTTTCTTCCTTATTTGGCCTGTAGATATTTAGTTATTTCAGTGCTCTTTCTTTTGAAAAGATTTTTTTTTTCTCCACAGAATTTTTCTCTGTCACAAATCCATTTTCTTATTGTTGTAGGTTATTCTTGATTTCTGTATTACTTCAATTTGCTTCATTCTTCAGTAGTAACATATCTAGCCTTCATTTATTTATTTATTGGCACTGATTTGCAGAGGTTTTGACAATAGAATTTTATACCTACATTGTTCCCAACTCTAACCCCACTACCAGTTACTTTATCCCTCCACCCATGCCCCAAGTTCCTCCCTACTTCACAATCTGTCTCCTAGACAGAAATTTTAAGTTTAATTATTGTACTTTGGGTCTCAAGCTTTTGATAGTGTTGGGTCTAGTGATTTAGACGTATACAGATACCTTGCCTCTATACTACAAATAAGCCTGAGCCCTCTGAGCATTGCCCCTATATTATTTCAAGAATGTCCCCCTCCATTTCTCTCTTTCACTGGCATTTTTGTTTCTGTAATCTAGAGCCACTCTTTTGTCCATCACTTTAATACCCTGGATATACTATTCTTTATACCACATACTAATGAAAACATCTGTCTTTGGCGTAGTACCTCACTTACCATAAGATCATAGTCTTTATTAATGTCACTGTATATTGCAATCAGAGTGAATCCTCCCACTACCTTAATTTTCAGAATTGTTTTTGACCCTTCTAGTTTGCTTTTCATGTAAATTTTAGAATATTATTTGTTCTTACCTAAACTTTTGCTAGACATTGGTAGTAATTATATTAAACTGTGTCAATTTGGTGAGAGTTGGTTTTTACTCTGTTGAATAGTCCATAAATAAATGAATATAGTTTCACGCTTATAAGCTGTGTAAACTCTTGTTTGTCCATGTTGCTTGTCATTAATCTGAATGATAATCTGAATACTTTGGCAAGGTGTTCATTTCATTGACAGTTTGTTTCCCCCTACCATTCTCTGCTGTCCTGTAGTCTCATTTACTGTACTGTAATTCTTTTGGAAGTCCCATGGTATGTAAGTTCCTGTGTCAAAAACAAAACAAAAGAAAAACCAGGAACAAATGCTGATGGAATTGTGGGAAAAAAAGAATATTTATTACTGTTGCTGGGAATGTAAACTGATTTAGCCACTCTGAAAAATAGCAGAAAAATTTCTCAAAAATTAGAAATAGGACCACCATATGACCCAAGCTATCTCTATCCCAAGAACACAAAAACACTAATTAGAAAAGATGTGCATACCTGTGTTTATTGCAATACTATTTATAAAACCAACATTTGGAAACAACTCAAGTGCTCATAACAGAATAGTGATTAAAGAAGATGTGGTATTTATATACATAGTGGAATCCTCTTCCACTTCAAGAAAATATAAAAGTCTTGCTTTTTGCTACAACACGGATATAACTGAACGTTGTCAGGTTAAATGAAATAGGTCAGGGAAAAGACATGCTGATTTAGCTCATTCATGTGGTATATAAAGAAGCACCTGGGCAAGTACACCCCCACAAATAGCTAACAGATATAGGTTCCTGAAACAATTTGTATTACAGGTCCACAAAACAGTATTTCTAGAGTACTTCTGTGTTCCTTAATATCTTTAGTGTTTGTGTAAGAGCTTGGAAAAGGATAGCTGCTTTATTAGTAGATTTTTCTTAAATACTGCAGATTAGTTATTTTGCCTATATTACATGTACTAAAAACAAGTTTTCCTAAGAGTCACATGTATCATTTTTGATATAGCATATAACATATAATGAGAAAAATGCTGAAAGTACATATCTCAAATGTGTACCTTTCTGTAGTTGGCATAATTTTGACTTGTACTGATTCCTCCTGATAGTACTTGGGAGATATGCAAGGCCAGGAAGCACGTGGGCCATTGCACCCCCACAAATAAGTAAAGCAGTCCTTTGGGAAAAAAAAAAGATGGGAAGCATTACCTTCCCCAAGTTACAATTGTACTACAAAGAGATAGTAATTAAAACAGCATGGTATTAGAATAAAGACACCAGTAGATTAGTGGAATAGAGTTGAATACCCTGAAACAGACCCTCAAATTATGATCACTAAATCTTTGACAAAGGAGCAAGAAATATGAAGTGGTGCAAGGGAATCCTCTTCAGCAATTGGTGCTGGGAAAGCTGGACTGCTACATGTGAAAAAAAAAAGACCTTTGTCTAAGCCATGCACAAAAATCAGATCAAAATGGATTAAAGACTTCAACATCAGACTTGAGTTCATAAGGTACATGGAGGAATACGTAGCAGAATCCTCCATGATATTGAAGCTAAAGGTGTCTTCAAAGATGAAACACCACTGACCAAGCAAGTGGAAATAACAATAAACAAATTGGACTACATTAAACTTAGAAACTTCTACACCTCAAAAGGAAGTGACTAAGACACAAAGATAGCCCACGGAATGGGAAAAATCATTTACCTAATGTCCATCTGGGATAATGTGTTAATGTTAAAGATATATAAAGCACTGGTAACAAGAAAAAACATCCAACTCCATCAAAAAATGTGGAGAAGGAATCAACTGAAACTACCTCAAAGAAGAAAATAGCCAAAAGGCACATGAAAAAAATACTCTACATCACTAATTATCAGGGAGATGCAAATCAAAACATTGAGATATCATCTCACACCACAAAGACTGGCACACATTCAAAAAAACAAGAACAACCAGTGCTGGCTGGCAGATGCGGGGAGAAAGGGATTCTCATTCATTGCCAATTTGTCCAGCCTTTTTTGGAAAACAGCATGGGCATTCCTCAAAGAATTAGAAATTGAGCTCCCATTTGACCCAACAATACCACTTCTGAGAATATACTCTCGAGACCCCAAAACACACACTAGAAACACCATCTGCACTCTAATGTTCATTGTAACACTTCACAATAGCTTCTAGAAAAAACCCAAGTGCCTGAGAACAGATGACTAAAGAAACGATCATCTACACAATGGAATACTATGTGGCTGTTAGGAAAAAAGAAGTTATAAATTTGCTTATAAATGAATAGAGATGGAGAGTATCAGTGTTGAGTGAAATAAGCCAGAAGGTGAGGGACAGATAAAGAATGATGGCACTCATTTGTGGAATACATATAGTATGAGACTAATATCCAAAGCCAAGAAGAACGGCCAGAAGGACTGCTCAGTGGCTGGAAGCTTGCCACAAGTGTGTGGCGGGAGTGGGGGGGGGGGGGGGTGGCAAAGGACAGTTAGGATAGAGAAGGGATCAGTATGTCTAGTGAAAAATGGTCACTCTGGGCAAGAACTGAATGTTAAAAGCAGATAAAGGATTGTACATGATAACCTTTTAGTATCTAGTAATACCCAAAAAGGTGGGAAAGGGGGAGGGGAGAGAGCTTGTCTGCCATAGAGACGGGTGGTGGGGAAGGGAAACGGGATATTGTTGGGGGGAAATGTACACTAGTGAAGGGATGAGTGTTGGAACATTATATGACTGATACCTCTGTATTCTCTCTTGCCTTACATTTTGCATATTCTTGAGACTCAGAACCACTAAGCTTCTCTAGTGAAGAGTAGCACTATAACACTATATAGAGACAAAATATTCCCAAGGGGAAAGCATCTGGAATTTGCATGTTGAATTCATACTAAGTGAACCAGCTGGGAAAAGCAATCTATTTAGGTACTATATTTGAGCTACAAATAAATGCTTTTTTTTTCCCACCTAAGTGTATGTTTTTAAATAGTTTCGTTTACATTTTAGAATTAAATTTCACATATGATTTTATTTCTGGCTTTAAAATTGGACACAACTTGCACAACCAGTTGGATCTAAACTCCTTTCAAATGAAGACATTCTTTTGTTTACATTGGTCTGCTTTATGTGGTTTTAATTGCTGCACCTCTGTAAGCATTTCAGTTCTCATCCCATCTGAATAATTTTAAATTGGCATTTATCTTCACATTTCTAGTAAATTTTAGTGGCAAATCCTAAGCATGACTCAGTTATATTTTCTTTTCCCATTGTATTTTCTAAGTTTCTCATTTCTGGTAGTAGCTCTGTTATTGATTCAAAAACTTATAAAATTACAAGCTTATTATAGCAACTAGCTCTTTAAGAAATTCCTGTTACAGTAGCACTGCACTCTCCTCCGGTTGCTCATTGATTTGCTCATCGAGTTGCTCAAGCGGGCCCAGTAATGTCTGCATTGTTAGACTTGTTACTGTGTTTGGCATATTAAATACGTCAGGGGAGCTTGCCAGGCTTTGCCGTGCAGGTGAGATACTCTTGGTAGCTTGCCGGGCTTTCTAAGAGGGGCGGAGGAATCAATCCTAGCTCGGTCCGGCCGGCTGCATGCAAGGCAAACGTCCTACCACTGTGCTATCGCTCCAGTCCCCTGTTACAGTAAAGTAGGGCAAATATTTGAGTTCATCTAACTCTATCACCCATCCTCACTTAACACAAACAAAGGAAGACAATTCTAGAGGTTTCTTGTATCTGTGCGAGTTGGATTAAAACTTTCAATTTGAGGACTGGAGAGATGGTAAAGAAATTAAATCACTCCCCTGTCATTCAATTACAAAGTTCATTGTTTTTGAAATAGTCCATTGCATCATGATTCTA